ACTGAAGCGTAATGAATAGTTTATTTTTGTATTCATTTATTTAAATTTCAGTCAAGTACATGCTCACTCATTTCCACAGGTGAATGATTTCGATAAATTGGATTTAAATCACATTATCAGTACATTTTTCATTGAGAAAATCCTTGTGTGCCTGATACCTTGAACATAATTTAAAACAAAAACAGTATCGGCTTATTTATTGTTGTTAATTAAAGTTGCTTGTACTATGATTACTTATATCCTATCACCCCATCAATTTTCATAAAATGATAATACCTATATATGGTTGATGAATTCGTAAACAATGAATATATAATAGATATATAAGTACGGGGTTGTCACTTTCACAAAATGAATAAATAAACCAAAACTGCAACCGTCTATTTGTGAAGTTTCTTTGTAGACTTGAATATAATATATTTATTTCTTAAATTGATGAAATTCCTCTATCATATTTGGATTTCAACTCGGATTCCAAAGTTTTGTTTCTGAAATGCCATCATCAAGGTTATACAGTGTGTCCATTTAGTGCGTAATTCTTCGATATCTCCAAAGCCATAACCTATAGAAAGAAACTTTGAAGGAAAAACTTCTTCAGTTACTCAAGTTGCTTATTTCAAAAATATTTTCAACATTACTGGGTGTTTTATAAAAGCGGGATGACTCGGAGACGAGTTTTTTAAATGGAACACCCTGTATTGTTTATTCGGAATTTATTGCGCCGAGGTTTACCTTCACATCGCTGTAAAAAGAATTGAAATCGGTTACGGCGTTGCCAAGTTATAACTCATAAATCTATTTTTACCACTATTGAAGAGTCATGTTGAATTGGGCATGGTATATTCATTTATTCAAATTATGAAAATATTTTTGGCATACGGTAGTAGCAAGGTCTCACGTATACAAATTCAGTAATTTTGCGACATGTTCTTCAACAGGGTGCTCTATTTCGCATTTAGAATTTCGCAAGATTCAGATGTCATTCATTAGAATTTTTCAAATGGAACACCCTGTATTTTTTTTCACAAATTTATTCCGACATCTCTCACCTTTTTATCGTTGAAAAAAAATCATATTCGGCTGCGGCGTTGTCAAGTTATGGATAGTTTCCTTATTTTTACTACTATTTCGGAGTAAGTATAATTTTTACGTCATTCATTCATATATTTTTTTACAATAGGAACATTTGCACGCTCTCCAAGTTTGAATTTAAAACAGAGTGGATTTGACAAATTGATCCAAAATGCTACTTTCACAGATTTTTTGCAGACAACGAATTGATTTTTCGAAGTACACTTCCATTATTCGTGTAATGACCTGTCAAACATCGTCACAATCAAATATAAATATCTTGAATTTATTTAAAATTTTGCTGAATTCCCTCCCGAAACCCGCGTAGTAAAGAAATATTGTTTGTATCATTATGTAGAGTTTGCCTCCTTCAAGTTTGATGGAGATTTGGTTTGTGGGAATAATGACAATAAAAGTGGTCCAAATTTAAAAAAAAAATCCTTATTCTCGCAATTCAAATCTCCATTGTTTGTATTGTAGAAGTTGTTTTAAAGGCAGTCGTTTTGCTTTTGGCATGTTTGTTTCACATATAGGTACATATTATTCAAATCATAAGTAACAAGATTACGGAATATTTTTAATTTTGACAATGCTTATATCGCAAAGATACCTGAATGATCTATGTAGAACCTCGAATTTCATGTGGCAAGCAATATTCCCACAATCAAATCAAATAAAGGTACCATGTCTCATAAGTTGCCCTGAGATAGTGATGAACATAAGGAAATTACTCATATCTTGAAAACCCCGCAACCGATTTCAATTTTTTTTTCAGCGATGAAAAGGCGAATGATGTCGAAATAAATCTGTGATGAAGAATACAGGGTGTTCCATTTGAAAAATTCTAGTGAACGTCGTCTGAATCTTACAATATTCAGAGTGTAAATTTTAGCACCCTGTAAAGGATAATCTCGCAAAATTACTGGATTGGTGTACGTGAGACCTTGCTACTACTGTATGCCAAAAATATTCTCAAAATTTTAATAAATGAATATACCATACCCAATTCAACATGACCCTTCAATAGAAGTAAAAATGGGTTTATCAATTATAACTTGGCAACGCCTCAACCGAATCCAATTTTTTTCACAGCGATGTAGAGCTAAACCGTAGCGGAATGAATTTTGAATAAAAAATTCTGGGTGTTCTATTTGAAAAAACTCGTCTCCGAGTCCTCCCGCTCTTATAAAACACCCAGTATTGTTGAAAATATTTTTGAAATGGAACCTTCAATAACGGAAGAAATTTGTTTCCAAAATTTTTTCTCTAGTGATAATGGATTTCGAGATATCGAAGAATTACGCACTAAATGGACACACTGTATACGTTTTCAAATATACAGACCTGATATTTTTATTTTTGTCCTCTCCTGAAACAATGACTCACTGTACTATGTGGATTCGAAAAGGATAACTAGTGAATTAGAAGAAGAGCAAAATGTTATTTAAAATATGCAAAGTGAACAAATAATGGAAAGTGAAATCGGTTTGCGAATTGAGGCCAAGTTCAATAAGACTCCGGTGCGATCTACCTTTGTATTATAACAAAATGTTTTTATGAGTTATGAGTCATTTTAGTAATTACAAACAACAACACCGAACGACAAACACTTTTACTGACAATGTATAAAAGCAATGACTGTAGAAGTTCACGTAGAAGATAATATCTGACTACTATGATTATTATGAAACAATTCTTAAAGGTCGGAAATTAAATGTGTACCGAAATTGTTTGTTAATACATAAACTTCGCATAAAAAAATACGAATTTCTAAATGTTCCACAAATTTTATAGGTATTATGGATATAATATGCGTAGAATCGAAATAGACACAACTATTTCATATGACATTTTTTGGAATTCAAACAAATAAGCCAATAGTCTGACTGATTATCAAACAAAAAGTTTAGACAGGTAGCAATAGTCATATGACTCCGTTCTAGGAGGCAATTTTACATCATTTGCGAAGCAAAACTCTCCCAAGCTGCCGAAACGTACTTGAATTGAGGTTAGGTAATGTCTAACCACCTGCAGATCGCTATCGCGGTATGGAGAGGGAGAAAAATACGCGGATTTCACTAACATCCAATTCCTTTTGAGGTGGACGACCACATGCACCAGCGCATGGACAATAGCCTGTATCGGAATTGCTCGATAATACATCGGCTTTTTTTTTTCATATTTCTTTCACAGCAGAACTTGCCCACGCTAAATGCCGAATTGTGCTTGAATTGAGGTCCGGTGTCACCTAACCACCTGCAGACCGATTTCGCTCGAAAATACGCGAATTTCCCTAAAATCGAATTACTTTTGAGGTGGACGACCAGATGAAGCTTCTGCAGCATCCTGGTCCGGCATGCTGGTCCTCGATCACATGCATCAGCGCATGTACAACAAGCCTGTCTGAAGAGACGACGCTGCACATCGACCAAAAAATTAACTTGTATCGAAATTGCTTGATAATACGTCAGCTTTGCATACAAACTTACTAATTTTTCGATATTCCATAAGTGTCGTTGATATTAAAAATACTGCGATAACTGAAAGATAAAGTCAAATATGAGAAACAACAAAATCGAAATAGAAACAACTACTGATCTCTTTGATTTTTTTTCTGAAATTCCAACAAATGAGCGATTTTTGAAAAAAACAGTTTTGACAGACAAAACAAGTCACATGAGTCCATTTGACTAGATCATCTTTCTTCTTCTTTCTTAAAAACTTGCCCTTGCTGTGTTTGAATTGGGGTCAGGTATCACCTAACCACCTGCAGAACGATTTCGCGTTATCGAGAAACGAATAAATATGCGAGTTTCACTAACGTCTAATTCCTTCTAAGGTGCCAGACATCAAACATTACCAATTTTTCACATTTATTTCAGAGCAAAACTTGCTCAATCTAAATGCCGAGTTGTGCTTGAATTGAGTCAGGTATCACCAAACCACCTGCAGACCGGCTTTGCAGTATTGATAGAGAGAAGAATCAGGAGATTTCACTAAAATCGAATTCTTCCTAAGATGGACGACCAGATGAAGCTGCTCTAGCGCTCCTGGCTTGACATGTTGGTTCCCGACAACATGCAAAACAGCCCAAAAATGATTTTGTATCAATGTTGTTCCGTGCTGCATCAACTTTGCATCATAATTACGATTTTTTGAGTGTTCTACAAATTACGTAGATATTGAGAAAATGGCAAAAACTAAAAGTTGCGATAGAATATTCAAGAACGGAAAAATATATTATAAGATTCTAAATGGAGGCATCGTAGATAGACACAATTTCAACACTCAAAATCATTTTTGTTCACTCAGGGCGGCTTGTACAAAGATGACCGTTTATAAAACTACAACATCGACAAATGATTCGTTCTGATGCTACGATGCTAATGACTGAACCTGCTTCAATCTTCGATCGATGATTACGAATAACGATGAGTCGTCGAGGCAGCTTGTGATAAGGCATTCCTTAGGCGTTCTTCTCATTTACGGGGTGATTTAAACATCGTCACTAACAATATGCATAAAATCGAAATAGAAACAACTCTTTCCTTGAATTTTTTCTGAAATTCAAACGGTTTTGACTGGTAGTGACAGTCACGTGACTCTGTTACATGAGGTTATTTTACGTTGCGATAGAACGTTCAAATATGAAAACTGTGTGAAATCGACATAGAAACTTCTCTTTGAATTTCTCTGAAATTCAAACAAATGAGCCTACCTCTTGAGCGATTATTAAAAAACAGTTTTGACAGACAAAACAAGTCACATGACTTCATTTGACTAGACCATTTCACATCTTTCTCAAAGCCGAACTTACCCAAGCTGTGCTTGAATTGACGTCAGGTATCACCTAACCTCCTGCAGACCGATTTCGCGCTATCGGGAGTGCAAAAATACGCGAATTTCACTAACACCGAATTACTTTGAAGGTGGACGACCAGATGAAGCTGTTGCAGCACTCCTGGTCCGACATGCTGGTCCTCGATCACATGCACCAGCGCATGCACAACAGCCTGCCCGACGAGACGACGCTGCACAACGGCCAAAAGTTCGACCTGCTCAGCCTCGGCCTGCTCGGCGTGCCGACCCTGGCGGATCATTTCAACGACATCACGGCCAAGCTGCAGGAGCTCAAGTTCGATGTAGGCGACTACATCTGCATCAAGTTCCTGTTGCTGCTTAACCCCGGTAAGTGTAAGTACCCCAATAAGTTTTTTTTTTCATTAAATATCTACATTTCGATTTTTTATTTTTTAATTCCTCAGAAAAAAATTGGGTGCGCCCCTGAAGTTGTAATTTTCTTTTCCAATGTTGAACTTTTGAAATTTCATATATTTTCTTATTCCTCGAAAAGATGAATTATGCCATTGGATTCTAAATTTCACGTCTGATAGTGAAGAAAACTAGAGACAAAACTTCCAAATTCTTGATTGAAATCTGTACTTCAGTTTTTTCCCACTCACAGAAATTGCTCTTGTTTGTCATCAATTTTTATTTTAGTATCTGATATCACAAAAAAATACCGGGTGACCAGTTATATTCTGACCCATTTCAAATGCTTATATCTCTGAAACCATTCAAGTTATCGTTGTGCAGTTTGGACTAGTCTATTTTGATATTTCTCAAGTTTTTTTTGACAGGTTAACCTTCTCTCTTGAACTTCCGGTTCTACCGGAAACAAACTAGCCATTATTCAGGTATAGGGCAACTTTTTTATTTCATCGAAGCACCCTGTATATTTTTGCACATTCAGAAAGACTGGTCTTTTCTCTTCTTAACAATGTATAACAAGTTATGTTTTCTTAGAAAACTATCAAAGTTATAACTCTTTGAAGCATCTACTGCATAGTAGGATGTTATCCTGAAATGCTGAATTACCGTATATTGAGTATAAATCTGATGCAGATTTATGATGAGTTCATTTGCTTTTTCATTCAAAGTAAACATTTTTTCAACTCGAAGAAAGTACAAATGCTCGAAAATCTTTATTTGACACATCTAATCTGGCATTTCATGTGTTGTGATCAGGATTTCCAACGACGACTTTGGTTACATTGCAAAATCTCATTAAACCATTCCACATGCAGTAGTTGTTTCAAACAGTTATAACTCTGATAGTTTTCTAAGAAAACATAACTTGTTATACATTGTTAGGAAGAGAAGAGACCAGTCTTTCTGAATGTGCAAAAATATACAAAGTGATTCAATGAAATAAAAAAGTTGCCCTATACCTGAATAATGGCTAGTTTGTTTCCGGTAGAACCGGATGTTCAAGAAAGAAGGTGAACCTGTCAGAAAAAACTTGAAAAATATAAAAATAGACTAGTCCAAACTGCACAACGATAACTTGAATGGTTTCAGAGATATAAGCATTTGAAATGGGTCAGAATATAACTGGTCACCCGGTATCACAATTACTTTATTGTGTTATTACATATTCCACAAAATCTCATCTCCCATGAAATGTCAAATTTCAAGCAATGACAGCTCTGTCTAATAGATTAGCATTACTTCGCTGTTATCTGTTACAGCCGTAGAAACAGCATAGTGTATAACTCGCACGGAATGCTAATTTGACACTGGTGTGATTTGCAAACAATATACTACTCCTTCCATGGGTATCGAAAAGTTTGGAAATATCGATATTTTTTCAATGTTTACCTTTCCTCCGTTCTTCTGCTGGGGTGTCCAAGAAATTTCGAGATTTGCACATTTTTAAAGAACTTTGAACCTTCTCAGAAAAATGCCTCTTACTATAAGTATAAGTACCTCTCCAGAGATTTAAAAAATGGATAGCTTCTCATAATTTCAGATCTTAATTCACCCGTGCTTCTCTTTACCGAAGTATTTCAAAATTCTGTTTTTTTTTTTCGTTCGGAGTGGAAACAATTCCGAATTCTGGACAGTGTCTTTCTTCCACCCCTTCAGAAAAAGAGAGGGTAAACCACTGATCAAGCCTGGTGAGTGTAAGTACCCCAACCAAAGAAAATAAGTATTTTTTCGGCCCCCGTTTTCATTTCTAACAAACACCCTCAGAAGTAAATTTGGTACACCCCTGTAATCACAATTTCAATTTTCTTTCGTATGGTGTCGAAGGAATTTCGAAATCCCGACATTTTTTATTCTTGATCCCCAGAAAAAAATGGTAACACCCCGGAAGTCACAGTTTATTATTTCATCCAGACGTTATCGAAAAATCTTCAAAATCAGGACTTATTTTCATTTTTGCTGCTGCTGCTGAAGACATTTCAGTATCCAGAAATTTCACTGAACCGCATTCATCAGAGTTGGCTACTTTCATTCTCTTCATTTTCTTCAGTGTAAATTTTGAAATCGTAAGTCAGAGAAGGTTGGATGGTGGATGGATATTGACATATTCCCTCATTTTCTTACAGATGTCCGAGGCATCACAAATAGAAAACACGTAGAAGAAGGCTACGAACAGGTGCAGCAGGCTCTACTCGAATACACGATGACGTGTTACCCACAAATACAGGTAATTCACATTCAATCGTCTTTTTTCTCATTTAATCATTTCTTCAAGTAAATAGATTACTACTCTCAATGTATTACCCCCCCAAATGTATAACCACTTTCAATGTATTACTACCTTCAATGATTTATCACTTTCAATGATTTACCACTTTCAACGATTTACCACTTTCAATGATTTACTACTTTCAACTTACAGTGTATCATAATTTTCAATGTATTATCACATTCAATGTATTACCACTTTCAATGTATTTCACTTTCAATGTATATAGTTGCGTTTTCGGCTTGTGTGTAACAAATCACCATATTATTACAACACTTCTGTCAAATATGCTTAAGCTCAACCCTTGTAATAAGAATTATAATTCTTTTCATATACAATAAAAAAAAAAAAAAAAAAAAAAAAGGTAATTCACATTCCTTGATTTTTGTATTGCCCTATTCGGAAATGTTCAGGACTCTTTGAATTATATTCACAAAATGAGTAATAAAGGTACATATTGGTACTAGTGATATGTATAAACCAAAAAACAATTCCTATCTGATTTAGATAAAATTAAATTTTTTATATACCTCCGTTACGAGCTCTGTTATAACTTGTTTCTTGTGTTATTTTTTTTTATTTTGTATTTTTGTTGTTCAATTTTACTATTTGTTCCTGTTTTTTATGAACCTTATAAGTACCTATGTAACTGTATTTTGTGATATTTGTGAGTAATTTTGAATTGGGAATCAGGAATATGATTATTTTTGTGTGATAATGTTTGTTCTGTTTGTTTCTAGTTTGTTGGAAATAGGTTACTTTTCTGTTCACTAAAAGTACATATTTTGACGTCATAGATTTATTTCATTATCCTTTCTTGGAATTCATATAGCATAAAATAGACCTTAAACAGATCTATTGAAATCTACTGAATTTAAGATTCACTGATGGAATAAAAATCGAACTGGCAACTCTGGTCCGCGCGGAGAGTGAGTTGACAACAACTGTCATTAATTTGCTGTTTTCAAATTGAATATTCACGAAATTCGATAGATTTCACGTGTGAATAGGACCATGATGTGAATATAAGTGTTTGATGTCGACGAAAAAATGTAATATTACGTCGGCGATAACCTGTCTATTAAATTGTCTCGCCTGATTGCTAGCCTCGGCTATATCAATTAGCATACTCGACTATAATAGACAGTGTTTCGTCCTTGGTACATAAATAACTATTATGCACGACCGTAGCACTTTATCGCCCGGGTTCGCGGGCTCAATGTGATCGTGCAGTAATGTTATTTCACTGGTTTTTCAGTAATTTCTTCTACTATTCGGTCTCTCTTTGCCAATGGTTTATACATAATCAGGCTCAATGTATTGAAAATCATCAATACATTCCATATTGAAAAACTAAAGGGAACGACTAAAAATAGTTATTCATTATGCAAGGACAAGAAGCATTATTTTTTCTGTGTATATAATGCACTATTATTCTCTGTGACAGGAAGAACGACTATTTAATATTGAGAATAAATTACATTATACTGAAATCAGAAAATTATCGATGAGGAATTTGAAGTTTTTAACTGTTTTTTTGTACGCATTTTTACTGTTGTTATGGAAACCTTTTGAAGTTATCGAATATATTATGTCAATTCTACAGACAATTTCCCGAACGATTCTGAAAAAAAATTGTGAACAAAATAGAATCATACACAAAGCATACTGATACTCATCACGCAAGCGGCCATCCTGTTGCCTAGACGAAAATTGAAAAACCAAGGGACCAACTAAAAATAGTTATTTATGATACAGGGACAAAAAGTATTGTTTTTCCGTGTATATAACTATTTTATTTACTAACTACACTATTTTTTTCTATGACAGGAAGAACGACTATTTGATATTGAGAAAGAAGATATTATCATTATTTTTAAAATCAGAACATTTTCGATGAGAAATTTGAAGTTTTCAACTGATTTTTTTTTTTGTTTTACTAGGCAGAAAAGCACAAGTTTCAATGCCGCGGCTGGCCTTTCATATCCAAGGCATTCAATCTGCTATTCTGCCGTGTGAAACATAATTTTTTCTTCAAATTCGTTTCAATTTCACGAAAAGTCCAAATAATACATGATTTTTTGTTCACCCAAAGTCATGGTCAATTTTGATTACCAATTTGATTCAAAATATTACTTGGAATGCTGCATATCAACAAGATTTTTCTGCCTAGGCAGAGGAAGTACACCATTTCTGCATATTAAGTGTCATAGAATAGCCACTTTCTATGCTGTTTGAAGATAAATTATTATAATTCTTATGACGAGTGACATTTTGATTACTGAACATGGATGAAATATCAAACTTTTTTTCTGTTACAGAAAAAATATAGTGAGATATGGGTTGCGTGCAAGAACTATCTGATGACCGATCCTGAACGTGAAACATTGAAACACAACCTCACTTTTCTTATTCGCTTACAAGTGATTGATATAGTTTTTTACGATTATTTTGGCATACGAATCGTGTTTTTCGGCTATTCATTAATTTGTGCATGCCATAACATTGAGCTGCATTATGATTTAAAAGTAAGTACCTACCAGTGGCGGCTCGTGACTTTCATGACAGAGGAGGCTGAATGATATGAGATTTACGACTCACCCAAATCAATAGCTTCAATGACATTCTGTTTACCAGTTGACCTGAACTTATACTTGAAGAGATATGTTCCTGTGATTTGCAGTGTCTATGCAATCCGCGAGGCAAATTTTTCAAATCATTATATCCTAATCGCCCCCAACATGATGACTTATCGGTTGAAAATTATACCCAGTACCAACAAAATAGCTTATTACCTCAGATCCCGTCAACCAGATATATTTTTTATAATTATCAGAATTGAACGAACGATTTTGTTTGTTACCTACCTGTTACAATCAGATTTTTTTAGTTCCGGTGTCGGACGTTTGTTTTTCACGATCAATTCATCTTCATAAGAAAAAGCACTGAATGGGTTTACCAAAAAGTATTCCACAAAATCGCAATCGTTTAAAACACTCATTTTTTAGAAATTTATAGAGCCCCTATTCCCCTAACCATCAACCTAACATGAACATAAATAATGCACTCGCGCTGGATTGCCCGCGATTCGCGACGCGACACGACAAAAACGTGTTATTCCGGCGTATTCGGGCATTTGCATTGCGCGCGTGGGTTGGGACTTGTGAAGGAGTCTAGCCTCCTATAGATGTTGCCAAGTTGAATATTTTACGCGTGATTTGCAGACATCGACGTGTGATGCGTGGGCAAGCACTGTTGCCAATTCAAAAATATTTACCTAAAGACAGGAAATAAAATCAAAATCGATGTATTTTGGTGTCCTACTAATGAGAAATTATAGATAATATCAGTTCAAGGAGAATCTCTGAGGAGGCTCAGCCTCCGTTGCCTCCTCTGAGGAGCCGCCACTGGTACCTACTATAGTCACTCACATATAGTTTTCATTTTGAAATTTGGTAATTTTCATCGAAATTTCTCCTGCAATAGGGAGGATTGGTCTGACGACATGCTGACGAAATATGATCTTGTGTGTTGTAGACATTTTCATTCTATTAGCAGTATTAGCTTCTATTGCCGAAGTGGCAGAAGGGATTTCAATTAGAAATGACAAAATTTCATAATGAAAACTATGTGAGATTACTATTTACCTAAAGAAATTATATTCCTTCGTCTCTCGCTGAATTTTTTGTGCATTGTACAACAGCACAATGAGAAGGCATGCTTGGATTCTTTCCTGTATGATCTAAGCTTGGATTAATGAATACCGCAAAAAACATGATTCGTATGCCAAAATATTGTGAAAAACTATTTCAATCCTTTGATTCCTCTGTAAACAAATAAAAAAAGTGAGGTTGTGTTTCAATGTTATACAGCACCAAACATACCCTGAAACTGGACAATTCGTCTCGTGGGTGATGCCTCGCTCACAAACTCACTCGCTTCTCTGGAACACCGTAGAAAAGTTGGCGATCTGGCTCCATTTTATAGATATTTTCATGGACGTTGCTCTTCTGGAATATCAACAATTGTTCCTCTGTTGGCAGTCCCCGCGTCATTAACCCGTCGAGTTGAGGCTTCGCACCCCTTTGTGGTCTCTTTGGAGACCTGCAGAACATCTCTTTCCAAAGACTTGGTCATCCAACAAGGTGTTCCCCTAGGCATATAAGCTCCAGAAATTTAAGAAGAATTCCAATTCCTACCTTATTTCCCTTGGTTCTCATGATGTTCTCTGAACATTACAGGATATCCCTTTTCGTGGGAATCAGAACATAAAAAAATACAGAAAAGTGAGGTTGTGTTTCAATATTTTACCTCCAGGGCCGGTCATCGTGCACGCGGCCTATACAGGTTCATATTGAATAACCGAAATGCGAATTTTGTCGTCCGAACAAATGATTATAATCCAATAATTTTTCAGGATAAATTCAATAAGATGCAGCAGCTGCTTCCCGAGATCCATTCCTTGGCGTCCCGAGGGGAGGAGCACCTCTACCACAAACACTGCAACGGCAGCGCCCCCACGCAGACCCTGCTGATGGAGATGCTGCACGCCAAGCGGAAATAACGCCCCCCGTCCGCCTATTGTACCCCCCCATCTCCCCCAGCCACGTTACCATATCTGTGTGCAATACCGGCTTACACTCTGTACATAACTTATTATTATTATTATTATTGATTTTATTGAATATTTTTCGTTTTTCATTGGAAATCTCATAGTTTGTTGACATTGATGCCTTTTTAAGAAGTACAAAGAGCCACCACATATTTTTGTATTGAGATGATTGAGTTTGGAGAGATGTGAGAAGAATCGTGATTTGGGGTGCCATCAGAAGATTTTGAGTTGAATTTTGTTTTCAATTTTGTAACATTGGAGCATTGGTAAGGAATCAAATCGTTACTAAATTTACAGCTAGTGCATATTTCATCAGAAAATTCCTCAGAATCGCATTATAGAAATCAATTTTTCACTAAAAATTTTAGAATTTTTAACCCAAAATCATTTTTGAATTCTGTCAATGGTGCATTTTAGACAGATTCTTTGCCTTTACACTATAGTGAAAACTCATTTATTCATGCAAAGTTCTTCTTCCTTTCTAGGAAGTGTTTACCAAAAATTATACAGGGTGTCCGCTAAAAGGAGGTCAATCCATTAACCACATATTCTTTGAACAAAAACAATATGAGTTTCTAAATACCATTTTTCATTTTAGCCCTTCATATTCGATATACAGGGTGTCAAAGTTGGAAATTAGAAACTGTTTTTTTCTAATTACTCGCGTATTTGATAAGATATCAATCTCAACATTGGTACATTACTTCAGCACAAAGAGTTACATCGTGTGAGGGAAACATAACAGAAAATAACTGTCAAATATTCAAAATACTGGGGGTCAAGTACACACTTACTCCCATATTTTTTTTGTACGTGCGCTAATGACTTCCTATCTGTTTTCCTTCAAGTGTTCAATCATTTTTGAGTAATTTGTGTTTCTTGTAAAATTTCCATTAAATCATTTGTTTTTAAGATAATTCGAAAAGTACTGGTTATTGTTTGATGCCTATGCGGCTTACGGTAATCTCACAATGTTCACATACTCCTATTTATTTCGTCGAAATTGGAAGAGGGCGTATCTTTTTACGTACGAAAAGGTAAATATGGAAATACCGGGTGCTCAGAGCGAATGTATTAAAATAATTTTTACAATTTTTCAATTTTTTTTTTCTGTAAAAATTATTTTAGTACATTTGCTCTGAGCACCCGGTATTTCCATATTTACCTTTTCGTACGTAAAAAGATACGCCCTCTTCCAATTTCGACGAAATAAATAGGAGTATGTGAACATTATGAGATTACCGTAAGCCGCATAGGCATCAAACAATAACCAGTACTTTTCGAATTATCTTAAAAACAAATGATGTAATCGAAATTTCACAAGAAACAAAAAATACTCAAAAATAATTGAACTCTTGAAGAAAACTAGATAGGAAGCCATTAGCGCACGTACTATGGGGGTAAGTGTGTACTTGACCCCCAGTATTTTGAATATTTGACAGTTATTTTCTGTTTTGTCTTCCTCACACGATGTAACTCTTTGTGCTGAAGTAATGTACTAATTTTGAGATTAATATCTTATTAATTACGCGAGTAATTAGAAAAAAAACAGTTTTTAATTTCCAACTTTGACACCCTGTATATCGAAAATGAAAAATGGTATTTAGAAACTCATATTATTTTTTTCAAGGAATATATGGTTAATGGATTGACCTCCTTTTAGCGGACACCCTGTATACATATAGGGTGTGAATGAATTAGTGCAAATACATTTAGGGATCGCTTGTCATATTTTTTGAAAAATAATGTATATTTCAGTTGAAATTTCCCCGAAATTGCATCATAAACATTGATTTTCAAGTGAATCGCATTAGAAAACTCAATTTATAACTAATACCTAATTTCGCCACCTTGGAAGCTTATTTAGCATAATTTAATTGATTGCTGAAAATATAGGATATGGTTTCTTAGCTCATTTTGAGAAGAAAAGCTTTCATGAACATATGCCATAAACCTCTTAACTATAAAACTATAGGGTGTTAACATTTTATTTTCTCTTTTTTGATTATAGAAACTTTCACAATGTGAAAAACTGTCACGTTTATGAATAATGGTCAAAATAAGAACGCAACGTAATCGATCGAATGTCACTATTTTAGAAACGAATTGGGGCACTAATTTCTTTATGCCACAAATGCATGAAAAAAGTTTTTATTTTTTTACGCGAAAACGGTTTGTCGAACGAAAAAAAATTCAGGTAGTTAAATTGTTGCAAAATGAATGAGAATTTCAAAAAAGAGTTTCATTCCCAGAAAAATCAAGGGCGTACAACATATTTTTTCAAAATCTCCAGGCAACATCCCGAACGGAAGCCACTGGTAGAAATATTAAAAAACCTTTTGCATCAAAAATTGCCTATTGGTGCTTTGTAGGTGCATGTCAAATTTCATGAAAATATCTAGAACAGTATTTAAGTCATATCTTTCATTTTCAGCCATCATTCAAATTACACCCTGTATATGGGAATCATAAAAAAACAATCTTTCCAAGTTCAACGTCATGTATCTCAATAAGGAAACAAGTTGGGACACAAGTTTATATGGGCTTTTTTTTGTAAAATATGACAAGGAATCGCCTCCTAAATTTTTTCGCATTTATTCATTTAAAACCAGTACATAGAATATGAATTCGTAATGGGAGATGAAATCCTCGTTAACAAAGCATAAAACTAGTGAACACTAATGACTATTATGACTTGCAAAAAAACTGTTCCTCTAAATTATACACATTGTTGTTAAATTTTCCAATGACTTCTACAATAATTACATCACATGGGTTTTGATGAAGAGATTAGTTTTGATACTGTCTGTAGGTTAATCGAGGAGGTGGTACATTCATTTTACTTGATTCTTTGGGATTTCCTCTCCTCGTTTCTATAAAATAAAAGTATTCATATTATTTCAATATTTTTGTAGAGGGACAAATCAGATGATTTGCCCCAAAATGTCAATGCGTTTAACAAATTTTTTTATCAGGGAGTCTAAAAGAAAAATCCAGTAACTTGTCAGTGACACTTTGTTGTTGTTGTTGTTCGAAGGAAAGAAATATAGATATATTGAAAAAATATCGAATTGTAAAGATTCGATATTCATATATTTCTTTCCTTCAAACATTTTTTCAAACAAATTGTCACTAACAAGCTACTGGATTTTTCTTTTAGACTCCCTGATAAAAAAAATTTTAAACGCAGTGACATTTTGGGGCAAATCATCTGATTTGTCCCTCTACAAATATATTGAAATAATACGAATACTTCTATTTTATAGAAACGAGCAGAGAAAATTCCAAAGAATCAAGTAAAATGAGATTAGTTTTGTTTTCTGAAGGCGTATTTCTCAACAAGAAATGGATTTGTATCATTCCATATTTATATGAAGATTATTTATACAAATTCAATAGAGTTTGTTATGAAAATCCCCAGTTGAATGTTGAATAATAAACAGAGTGTCACCATAAAATCTATTGTTTTTCATGTGTGGAACTTTGCACATCTTTTTTTTCATTGTTCAAAACATTCAAAACACCAAATCGATCTTTCTGAGGTTTTTTCTGAACTCTCATAGATACACGAAAATAAATTAATAAATACCTACTTAGGAAGTGTTAAACTACTTCAACAGTAGGTATTTGAATACTTTCTGGCACAGGCAATTATATTTATGCTCACAAATACTTGTTCAAAAATATTCATAACAAAGTATTTGCAAATAGTTATTGAATTATTTGAAGTAGGTACCTATTCAAATATTTTGAAGTACCTATTGGAATAATTCAGAAATGCATTTTTTCTGGATATTCATGTTATCCAAGAATATTCGAATACTTTGGGAATATCCAAGTACATACTTTGGACTTACTTGAATGCCCTGAGAGTATTTGAATTTTACTGTAAACTATTCACTTCTCGGACACGACAAAATTCATACAGTCTACTCCACCAAAACTATACTTGATTGTTAGCAAACCTACCGGGACATGTTTCAAGGCTTTAGAGCTTCATCATCAGCGTTTTTGTTACATAGGAGCACTAAAGTGAGAGAAAAACAAAGAACAATGTCAGACAAACCCCTCAACAACGATAGGTTTGTCTGACATTGTTCTTTGTTTTTCTCTCACTTTAGTGCTCCGATGTAACAAAAACGCTGATGATGAAGCTTTAAAGCTTCGAAACATGTCCCCATAAGTTTGCTTACAATAAAGTATAGTTTTGGTGGAGTAGACTAGGGCTGTGCGATATTGAAAACTGGATATCGATATCGATGCACGCTTTGGTATCGATATATCAATATGTATCGATATATATCGATATATCGATAAATATCATATCGATATTTCTGCGCAGCCCTAGAATAGACTGTATGAAATTTGGCCTGTCTTATTGCCTTATTCACTCCACTTCAAGATGGATCGCTTAAGATGGTTTATTCACTTCTTGTCCGAAAATATTCAATATTTCAATTTTTTTATCATTCACTTCCTGCTTTTACTTTGACGACGTGAGTTTATGTTCAGTTGGTTTGATGTGTTACCAATCTTCCTGTGATGATTCATGTTTCTTCCACCCTGTAAATAATTCGGCACGCCAAAACTCGGTCATCTCTCGAAATCCAGGCCACAGAACCGTGCTCTTCGTTTTATTTATGTTACGTTGATTCGGAAAAAAATATTTGACACACATTCCACGTGATGTGCTCCCGAGGGATTAAAGGGCATCCTATACATAGATTAGGCTAGGATGTAAAGCTATTTTTCTTTTTCGGCGGTAGATGCGAGAAATTAAAGGCGAGTGCGTACTTATGCGGATTCCGCGAAGTTAGAACGTCTAAATACTGAATGATATACAAAGACTCTGCATGACTTTTAAATTAACAAATCATTTGAAATTGGTACATGTTTCGAACATATATATGTCCATCCTCAGCCTTAACATCAGAAATTACATCGATGTCATAAAATTAAAGGACGTGATTAGTACAGTGTGTCAAAATTTTCATGCTTTTGCATGATATCTCAGTTATCTTTGGAGATAGAACCTTGCTCAAGATGGCCTAATAAGATTTTGGATAAGTGTTTCCCCCGTTTATGAAATATAGGGCGATTTTGAAAATTTATACTTTCTGAACCCCCAAAATATCTACGAATTTTCTCATCGAAAGAGAGAATTTTACACGAAATCTAGTGGCGCACTCTTTTTTTTTCGGGGTATGATTTTGGATTTAGGACTGAAATTTATGATTTTTTAAATGGAACACCCTGAGATATTCAGTCTACAAGAGTAATGAGAATTTGAGTGCTTAGCATGGGGATAAAAGGTTATGTCAATTAATTATACAAAAAATAATACTATGTGTACCCGTGGGTTGCCAACTTTTTGGTTTCCTTCTTAAAATATTTTTTGTGGCTTTGCTGGGTTTCTTCATAAAAGTTTCAGAATGAAAAACCCTCCATTATTATATTCTGTATAAGTAATTGACATAACTTTTTATCCCATTGTTAAGCATTTATATTCTTATTACTTTTGTAGGCTGTTCTAATCACTTCCTTTAATTTTTTTTCTTATAATACTTTTTTTATGGAACCACGGAAAATTACATTTTCATAGCGGTAGAAAAAATAAGAACAGCTGAAAATATATACAGAGTATTTTGTCAGGTACATTGGTTACAGTGTAACATTAAAAATAGCCTGCTTATAAATAATATAAAATCATTGAATTTGTCACTACTTATCATTATTATGCGTTTTTAGGAAAGTTCTTAAAAGTATTACAAATGTTACCAGATCAATTCAAAGCTAACCAAGCCTTAAGTCTATTTACTCATAAGGTAGTCTAATATATTTTTATATATTATATAATAATGTATTTTAATAATTTATTACAAGGTATCTATTTACTCATAAGGATTTTTTAAATTTTTGGGGACATTGATGTAATTTCTGATCTCAAGGCTGAGGAATGAGGTTGGACATGTACCAATTTTCAATGAAGTGGAAATCACTTCAAATGTGGAGATGAATAATTTGTGTATCATTTAGTATTTATGGCTTAGTGTGAAAATAATGGATAGCCACAGTGGGATATTTCTACACTCTTGAGAAAAATTCAGATAGGAGCCAGACAGCTACAAAAAAGGAAAAATTCTTGAGAAACAGGGTATATTTTTTTCATCAAATTTGTTATACAATGAGGACGTAAAAAGTCCCCCCCCCCCCACTTTAACTTTTGAACAGAACAAGCTAACGGGTAAAATTCACTTCTTTTTGGTATGAAAACCAACCTGTTTTTTCAATTGTAAAAAGGGTGACGTAGAACCTGGTTTTGAAGCTCTTTCAATTCTCTCTGCAAGACAGTTCACACTAAATAACGTTCAAAATGAACTCAAAAACCGATTTTTTTTCTGTCAATAAGTGAACGGTGAACATTTCGAGCATTTTTTAGCACTTGTGACAATCATTTTTATTGGTATTTAGGTTTTTTATTTGATATAATTAATATTTGAAGCAATTATCAAGGCCGATTTGCACAATCGAAGCGGTGTTGGATAAATAGATAATCGGAAGACCTGCAAAACCAGGAACCACGTGACCCCTATTTACATATAAAAGAAAAAATCGATTTGAATTTTACTCCACCTATCTAAATTGTCCAGTTGAATAGTTGAAGTGGAGGGGTAGGACTTCTTGCGTCCCACTGTATGACATTCTCAAATTTTGACGGTAACCATGGTCATATGATTGTGTCTAGTGGAGAGTATATATATTTCCCGCAAATATCTTCTATGCCACTGGAGGGATTTTATTTTTTCATTTCCTCAAAAAAATATATTATTTATTGATTGTTTGATATCAGAGTCAACTTTGTTGTATCAAATATAAACCTTTTCAAAAAATATACATGTCAATTTATGTTTGTCATCTTTGTTCTCAATATGACATATTTCGGTTTGAAAGTGACATTTTGGCGTATGTTCCTTGTTCTACGTCAAGAGGTACCTGTACAAAGTTTTAACCGTTTGGAAAAACTTTTTTCAAAATTAGTCAATAGTAATCTATTGCCTTTATCTCGGAAACGGTTAGAGATATGGAAGAGTGCGATTTTCACCAATCGATATTTCACAAAATTGAAGCTCTTGACCTCTAGGTCAGTTTTTCTCTAGCTTCTCTTGAAATAAGGAAAACTGCCTAAATCAAACAATGTAGGACACCCTGTTTATGGAAAATAATATGATGTCGATGTAACATGTTTAAAGATCATCTATATCTTCAATCAACCAGGGTATCAACAAATCTAGAACTGCAATTTCTTCAGTGGCGTACAGATAAAAAAAGCAGAAACCCCTGTGACACTCTACTGGATTGAATCTCCGAAGACTATTTTCAATCAAAACTCGAGGATTTCAGAGG